TCATGGCCGTGGCCGTGCCGGGGCCGGCCAACGCCTCGGGCGCCGCGGCGGCGGCGGGGCGGGGGCGGGCGGCGCTGCCGGCGGAGCTGCGGCGGCTGGAGCTGGGGCCGCCCCGGGGCCCCCGCCTGCGGCTGGGCAAGAAGGCGCGGCGGAAGGTGCTGCAGTGGCTGTGGGCGCACACCCACTGCCCCGTCCTCTACGCCTGGAAGGACCTGGGGGTGCGCTTCTGGCCGCGCTACATCAAGGAGGGCAACTGCCTGGCCGAGAAGTCCTGCTCGCTGCCCGAGGGCATGTTCTGCAAGCCCGTCAAGTCGGTCACCAAGACCTTCCTGCGCTGGCACTGCCAGGGCTGGTCCAGCCAGAAATACTGCACCTGGATCCCCGTGCAGTACCCGCTCATCTCCGAGTGCAAGTGCTCCTGCTAAGCCTTCCCGGCCCCTTGCACTGCCGCCCTCCTCCTCCGGATCACTTTAGGGGGGGAGGTTTTTTGGGTGGGTTTTTTTGGGGGGGTGGGTGGGGATTTTGGGGTAGTTTTTGTTTGTTTGTTTGTTTGTTTGTTTTTTCCCACCCCCCAGGGCGGAGTGGGGGAACATGAACCGCTTTTGGGGTTGTTTTTTTCTTGTTTTTGTTTTTTTGTTTGTTTGTTTGTTGGGGTTTTTTTGTTAATTTTTTTTTTGTTAGGGTTTTTTTGTTAATTTCTTTTTTTGTTTGATTTTTATTTTTGGTTGTTTTTTTTTTTCCCTCGGACTTCTTTTAATGTTATTTTATTCAAAAGGGGAAAAAGCAAACCCAGGAACTGCAGGGCAGGCCAAAGGCACAGTAAAGCACTACAATCAGATGTCTATTTTTATACATATATAGCCTTCTAACAAAAGGAAAATAAAAAAACCTAAAAAAAAAAAAGGAAAAAAAAAGGAAAGAAAAAAAAAAAAACCCACCAAAAAACCCCAAAAACCTACCAGCCGTGTAAATAGAGAGATTTTAAAGGAAAAGGGGGGGGAAATCGCAGCTGTTTTTTTATTATTATTATAATTATTATTGTTATTATTATTATTTTAAAGACATAGGACCACATTTTAAACCCATCCCCACAGAACCCGAGCACTTCCCTGCCGAAGGGGAGAGCAGAAATTTCCTGTAAAGATGATTTTATCGAAAGGAGAAAAGGCAGGGTGGTGTACAAAAAAGAAAAGCAAGAACGGCAGCATCCCTGAAGACGGTTGTTTCTCTGTGCTGTATTTTTTTTTTGTCTTCTTCAGACCTTGTCACTGATGTTTGAACTAATTTGCCAAGCTCTCTAGGGTTTGTTGTTTTTTGTTTTTTGTTTGTTTTTTTTTTTTTTTTAAAGTGTATAACAATTAATTAAGGAGGAAATTTTAAAGAAAAGTACAAATCTATGAAAAAGTGGAATTGTTTTGTTGTGTGGGAATACATATAGTTGTGTAGAGATGTTAAAGGAAATTTTCATTGTACAGTTTATTTATTTTTAACGTTTGTGTATAGGAAAAAAAAAAAGCTAGAGATTATGCCAGAAACTATTGGAAATGTTTACTTGAATATTCCTTTAAAAACATATCAATGTAAATATGAGCTATCACTGATCAAAACATTTTTAGCAATAAACTCTATCTTTGAAGAAAAACCCCGTACTGCACCCCAGCTCTCTGGGAGACCAGCGGAGACTCGGATTCTTGCTCGGAGCAGGTGATGAGTAAAGAGCTTTGGCTGGGCTGCGCTGGCGTAAATCGCGAGACACCCCGAAGGTCGGGACAGCTCCACTGGTTTCTGCCTCTCCGGGATCCTGCTCTGGGTTTTCTTTGCGCGTATAACCTGTTGGGGAGAGAAAAAAAGCACAGACGGGAAAGAAATGTCTCGTAAAGCGTAAAAGAGCTGCGATGTCCCGGACTGGAGGTGTCATCTGAAGTCCTTGGGAGATTCCATGCTCTGAGGCTCTTGGATTCGGCTCTCCCGCTGGCAGAGGAAGCGGTCGAGGTTACTGCCCCGGCCATCAAAGCGCCTGACACAGCTTGGCAGCCCCGCGTGTGTCAGAACAAATGTTTTTTCTCGGCTGCCGCCACTAGCGCAGGAGGGAAGGATGGAAACGAGCCCTGCGCCCGGCCCTGCTGCGGCGACGGAGCCCCGGGGCTGGCACCTCTCCCCGCGGCGCCTCCGGGGGTGTGTGGGGTCAGGAGGAAGCGCTGACCCTGCGGTGGCACACAGTGCCCTCAGCTCGTGTGCCGGGGCCGACGGGACCCCCGCACTCCCACCAGAGCTCGTGGAGCCAGGGCAAGGCAGAGCCGGGCCGGCTCGGCACGGGCAGGCTGCCGGCAGCCAGGCTGGGGAGGAGCCCGGCGCTGGAGAGCGGGGCACTGGCAGGGCGAGCCCGCTCCCAACGGAGATCTGTCTGTCTGTCTGTCACAGGGCTTGGAGCGCGGCTCTGACGGGCTGCCAGGCCGATCCCCAGCGTATTCCGCGTGGGCTGGTGGTGCTGGAGGGGAAGGTCTGGCTGTCCCCTTCGGTGTCTGAAACGCGCCCGGCATCCCCGAGGAACAAACTGCTGCCGAAGGCTCTTGCCAGCTAGAAGCCACGCTCTGCCAAGCCTGCTGTGGAGTGCTGGGGAGACCCTGTCCCCTTCCAGCTTGACATGCAGGAAAGGAAAGCAGCACTGAGCCCACGGGAAGGCACCAGGGCCCTCTGAGGGGTCTAGCTCACATCCCTCCATCATCCTCTGAGGGGACTGAGGTCCAGAGAGCCCCATGGAGCAGGCCCACAGAGCTGGAGGGCACACAGAGATTGAAGTCAAAAGAGGGAGAGAGCTTTGAGAAGGGCGTGGTGGGGACAAGGTGTGAGAGGGACAGTGACATCCAGTAGCCCAGGTCTCTGCAGAGCCCTGCGGCCACCCGCTTGGCCCCACATGAGGAGGCAGGTTGGCCTTTTCACGCGTTCAGCGGCGAGGGACTGGGGAAGGGGGGGATGCAGAGGTCAGGGTGAAAAGAAGACCTCGGCAAAAGCAATGTGCAAAACATCAGGGGCATTTGGGAGAGGAAGGGGAAAGCTCATTTTGCAAGAGGAACAACATCTGTGGTGTGGGGGCCGAACATCTGTAGAAGGGAGCATGGGGGGAGGGCATTCTGGGAAAATATTTCTGACATAATCCCAACAGTATCTGGTGTGTTGGGATTTGGTTACAAATGGCCCTCTAACGTCTTTGTGCGTTTTGTTCTGCTGGTTCCAGGGGCACACAGAGACCCCTGCTTTGTGCTAACCTGGGAAATAAACCATTCGCTGGGCTCATTGGCTGAGTTCAGTTGCGTGGGGAAGGTGGGGGTTGGGAACAGGGAAGGCGAGATTTGTGTGAACTCCAGTGAAAACCAGCCTAAAAGCCTCTGTGCCATGTGCTGGAGGGAGGAGGGGGGCTGCTGCCGTCTCTGGGGAGAACTCAGTGGTCCCGCTTGACATGACAGCTTGTCTGGAGGAGAAAACACAAGAGACAAGGTACTGGGTGTAGGCCAGGCCAGGGAGCAGAGGGCAGCCACCACGGGGTGTGTGCCAGCTCACCCGGCCCTGCCTTGCCGGTCTGCTGTGGCACTGGAGTGTGGGATCGGCGCTGGAGTGTGGTCACCTCGTGCCAGTGCATGGTCACCTCGTGCCGGGGAGCCTCCCATGCGGCTGCCCCGAGAGGCGATGAGTCGGACGTGTGACGGCTGGGCCGTGGGCATGATGGCTCGCCTGTCTGCTGAGCCTCAAAGGAGAGAAAGACAAAGGGGAACAAGCCTGGTTCTTTGGTGCGGTTATTGCATTGTCTCCCCAAAGCTGCTTGTGATTAAGGGACGAGCTGCAGGGGGAAGGGGGCAGAACAGGCAGAACCGGCAGAACCCCGAGAGGTGGTGGGTGCCAGCTTCTGAAAACATGGGCCTTTCCCCTTGAGCTCCAGAGTGGTGGACTGGGAAAAGGGCTGGAGCACCAAGGGTGGGTGCCATCCTCTAACTTGGGTTCTGCTTGTCATTACGTTGTCAGGAGACATGCACGGCCACGGCCACGCACTGACAGGGTGTGCACACCCCTCCTGGGCACCCTCTGTCAGCAGTGTTTGCGGGAGGACCATGTCCACACCCTGTGAAGCCACAGCAAGCTTTGAAGTCTCCCTTCTCTACACTGAGTCTCCAGGTTCAAGCAGAAGGTGGTTAACTGGAGGATCAGCTCTTTAACCCCTTCTTCCTTCAGGCAGGGCAGAGCACAGATGGACTCGATGGCTGTCCCATGTCTTGCAGGCACATGTCCACTGGCATAATGTGAAAGCAAAGGCAGCTTTCCTCTCTACAGCAAGTGCTAGCCAGAGCTCACCTGCTCCAACACCACATGCTGTGCTGCGGCAGCTCCCTTGGCTGGATCACAGCTGGATCTCTTCCTTACAGTCCCTACAAAGCCCAGCTGGAGCAGAGCCCCTCTCTCAGGTCTGCAAAGGTCTCCATATCTTCCTTCTGTGTGTCAAGGTCCTTCTATGACTTGGTGAACTGCTTTCTCATGCATGACCCCAGATTTAGATGACCCTGTTTGTCTTGGGAGGGAGAATGAACTCAAGATAGCTCCTGACATTTGACTCAGTGGGATGGAGGCACTTTTCCACTCCTCTTTCACATCTCAGTTTGGTTTCAACACCAGCAGCAGGTTAACTTTTTTGTCTCCACTGGCAAAGGGTATTTCATCCCCATTTTCCCATCCTGCCTCTCCCCATTTAGTTCAGGTCTCCTCAGCTAAGGCTGGTCTCCAGGAATGCAGTTTCTGTCGGCACACTGGCTCTGCCAGGGTGACACAGATTCACAGGGCTAGAGCTTGCAGATGTCTAATGGCAGCTCTTGAGATATCTGACTCAGGCCTGGGTGATGACCTAAGCCCATCACTCATCATTCCTAGAAAGGCAGATGAATGGACAGGAGGCAGTAATTGGCCTCCTCAAACTTTAAAGCCCAGGCTAAACTGGGACTTTTTGCAACATGCAAAATTTTGCTCGTCTCCCCCTCCGGCCCGAGCGTTTGGTGTCACTCTGTCTTTGCAGCCTGTCACGGCCACCAGGAGCTACCAGGGAAAGCCATTCTCTCTGCACACCCTGCGTGTCCACAAGCAGGTCCCTGGTGAGCCCATCCTGCTGACAGCTGAGCTGGACCTGCTTCCTCAGGCGCACCCAGTTCCTTTTTCATCACCACAGTGCAAACCCTGCCACACCACTGAGGTTAATAGTGCTGGCACAGGCCAGGGTGCACTGTGCTCAGTGATCGCACAAGTCTTTTCCAACCTAAATGATCTGTGATGACCACAGACAAGCCCCATGGGGTGGGCAGAGGTGGGCTCTTGTCTCACTGTCTCCTCAGCGCTGCCAGGTACAAGAGTGGAGGTTCTGCTTCCTTTGTGCAAGATGCACCTCAGGCTGCCTTTCCACTCCTTTGCAGTTCTCCTTAGCTGTTTCCATGGATAGCAAACCCAACCACATGTCCAGCATGAACCTG